GCCCTCCCCTTTCTGCTCCCTGTTCAGAGAGTTGGCAGGGGGTGTGGAATTCAATTCAATCATCCTTTAAGTAGCAACTGTTGCTTCCCAGCACCCGGCTTCCCTTTTTCATCACAGTTCCCACTTCTGCTCTCCAAACACCCCTAGAAACTAGCCTATTCCAAGATACTATCTACCTGGGACTTAGTCATTTCCAAAGTTTTCCATTGTGTAATACATATAGGCCTACTAATTAAGGGGAAGTATAAAAAAAGACATTCTTACTGTTTAGGCTTTAAAAATAGGCCTTGTTTGAGATGTGCAAAGCAAGCATTGGTTCTCAATCTATAAGCACGATAGTAAAACATTAGATTCAGATATTAATTTCACAGAATAAGATTAGCTTGTAAAATATGTTAAGGTTTGTTGGCAGTAATGTCAGCAGTCATTAAAATGAACGGTTAAGATTCATTGTCAAAGCGAATAAGGTGTAGGGTGCTGAGAACCAGGGCAAACTGCAATTTGATAAACAGGCGTTGTCTTCCTGCATGTTAAATTAACCTCCAGAATGGATGTCAGTTATTGTAAATAGTAATTGGGTGAGAAGAGTGAATACCTAGTAATGTGGAAATTGTAATGCATGATTGGACCAGTGGCATATCTAGCCCTGTGTCCTTTTTTTGACAGTGGGCAGAGGCAGGAAACTCTGCAAGGGACAATTATGGAATAACATGCTTGGGGGAAGTTTATTCTATTTCTAAGCTCAGGCAGTCAGTAGTTGGGTTATGCTCTGAGCGTGAAGATTTATAGTCATTATATGTTTGTGTCTTATTTGCATTCATTTGATAAGGAATTGTAATGATGGCCTGATTTTAAATGAAACAGTAGCAGATATTTTAACAAATTAGAATTTTTCTCCTTTTATGTTTTCTGAGTCATCAGTGTAAATTAACCCTTTTTGGGGGTTCAGAAGTGTGTGTGTGTGGAAAGCAGGAGGGGTGTGTGGGGGGACAAGATGGGCATGTTGAAAGGTACCAGTTCTAGCTATCTGATGGCTGTCTCCATCTGCTTGAACCCTAACTCTCCACTCTGACTTCTCTATGGTATATAGCATGACATGTGGCTGCATGTTTTCTGTCTAAGGCCTGGTCTACACTAACACCCCAATTCGATCTAAGGTACGCAACTTCAGCTACGTGAATAACGTAGCTGAAGTCGACATACCTTAGTTCGAATTTACCGCGGTTCAGACGCGGTCCACACACGGCAGGCAGGCTCCCCCGTCGACTCCGCGGTACTCCTCTCGCTGACGTGGAGTACCGCAGTCGACGGCGAGCACTTCCTGGTTCGAATTATCGCGTCCACACCAGACGCGATAAATCGAACCCGGAAGTTCGATTGCCAGCCGTCGAACTACCGCGGTAGTGTAGACAAGCCCTTAGAGACTAACAAATTTATTTGGGCATAAGCTTTCGTGGGCTAGAACCCACTTCATCAGATGCAGTAAAATTAATAACTAGAACATAACCATTGCCATGCTGTACACTCAAGACTAAACAAGGAACTAATTGAGAATTCATTCTATAGAACTCTCACCATATAACCATAACAACTGTGGTACTTCACACCCAAGAATCTAAACATGTGTTACAGACAATAATTCTCACGGTGTACTTACAACACAGATAATTATCTAACAACAGCCCTACCACGACACAAGGGGATGATCTAGGTAAGGTGACCCAAAAATGGTTCTTTTCAACCCTCATATCTGAGATTCACATTTTTCAATCAATCTTTTAGTCCCTAACACTGCAAACACTTAAGTAGGTGCTTAACTTTACGTGTGTCAATAGGAGACTGTCAGACAAAGTTAAGCATGTGCTTAAGTGCTTTAACTGGATTCAGCCTTTAGTTTTGAAAACTGAATGTTCATGTTTTTTACTATATTCATTCCTCTCTCTCTCTTTGAACATTCGTTCTTGAACTGTCTAACTGTGAGACAGGGCTGGTGAAAAAGAAACCTACTTTCAGGTGCTGAAAGAGGAGGGAAAGAACTATAAAAACAGTTTATCGGGTTAAGGCCTTGTCTAGACATAAAAGTTGCACCCCTTAAACGATGCTGGTATAGTTAAAATGCTACTACTACCCTAGTGTGGATGCAGTTATACTGGTTTAGAAACACGTGGACTGCTATAGCTTACTCACACATGGATAAGTCTTATACCAGTATAGAGAACCTTTACAGCCAGTGTAACTGCATTCACACTCGGGGTTGTAATAGCATAACTATTTTGGTTCAAACAATTAAAATTTAAAAAAATAAAAAATAAAAAAATCATACCTTAACCAAAACAGTTTTACAGAAACAAAAACTATGTAGACCAGGCCTTATCAAATGAATAATTTCTCTAATACACATATCAGTAACAATATCAAATGAATCTGAAACATCATCATTTATCAGTGAGAAACTGCAAAGCCACATTAAATCATAATTTAAAAACTTTTTCTGCAATGGGAAATCTGACTGCTGCAAAAACACAAACAAAAAATTAACATCAGCTGGAAATTGTTAAAAAATAATGATTGTTTTAAGAAGGCTAACAAAGGTGATCAGCCACTTATTGCATGAGCACTTCAACTGATTTATTTTAAATTGTTTACCTACACTAGAATGTCTCCCCAAAGGGAAACACTGTACTGTAAAATGCAGTTAAACCTCCAACAACAATTCAAGGAAAGAGCAAAAACATTACTTAACTATTTATCCACTTATCACAATTGCTCTTATAATTAACCTCTAAACTACTAATCCATAGCAACCTCACCAGCATTAATGGAATGTTTACCATTTTTTCTCAAGATATTTCTGTTAAAATCAAATGTTGTTTTGCCTTATGCTTATAAAGCAACAACATATCACCCATCCACCCACACTCATGCACACACAATAAAGAAAAAAAAAGTTACTTTTCTTTCTTAATTCTTTCCCTGATTTCTTAATACAGTTAAGATAAATACAATAAACATTGTATTCAGAGCAAGTTCTGCCTCCAGCACAAAAATAAATAAAATTACTCTATTGCTGAAGGAAGTTAAATGACAACACTGAGACACTCTAATCCTGTAAAGTCCGTTTAATTTTTCTTTTCTTAATTTCATTATGATATACTCAACCTCTTGAGCATCCTAAACAATTGTACTGTTACCTTGTCACCCCCTCATTTGTTAGTTCAGTCACCAGCTGCACATAGACTGAATCCTGGACTGTGAGTTCTCTGGAGCCTTTGTGTTATTGGTTTGTACAAAGCCTAGTACAATGGCTCCCCTAAAAAGAATAATTCTACTCTCTCTTTACTGTTCACATTCTTCAAACAATTAAACCTATGCATCCCCATGGAATAGCCATCTGGCCAAGCTATACCTAAGTATTTCTTTAAATCTTTGCTGATAAGGCAGCTCCAGCTCTTTTTGGTGCTCTCCAGTTTGTCTAGGGCAGGGATAGGCACGCGAGCTGATTTTCAGTGGCACTCACACTGCCCGGGTCCTGGCCACCGGTCCGGGGGGCTCTGCATTTTAATTTAATTTTAAATGAGGCTTCTTAAACATTTAAAAAACCTTATTTACTTTACATACAACAATAGTTTAGTTATATATTATAGACTTATAGAAAGAGACCTTCTAAAAACATTAAAATGTATTACTGGCACGCGAAACCTTAAATTAGAGTGAATAAATGAAGACTCGGCACACCACTTCTGAACAGTTGCCGACCCCTGGTCTAGGATTTTACACACACACACACACACACACACACACACACAGGAGAGAGCGAAAGAGAGATTAACACTAAGGAGGTGCCCAGAACAACAGTAAGTACTCATAGAGTCATTTACATCTATAGACATCAACATACTCAAATTATAAAGCAGGGGTCGGCAACCTTTCAGAAGTGATGTGCTGAGTCTTAATTTATTCACTCTAATTTAAGGTTTCGTGTGCCAGTAATACATTTTAACGTTTTTAGAAGGTCTCTTTCTATAAGTCTATAATATATAACTAAACTATTGTTGTATGTAAAGTAAATAAGGTTTTTAAAATGTTTAAGAAGCTTCATTTAAAATTAAATTAAAATGCAGAGCCCCCCGGACCAGTGGCCAGGACCCGGGCAGTGTGAGTGCCACTGAAAATCAGCTCACGTGCTGCCTTCGGCACCCATGCCATAGGTTGCCTACCCCTGTTATAAAGGAAGATTAATATCATCCCCACTTTACAAGTGGGGAAATTGGAACACAGAGACATTAAATGATTTGGCCAAAGTCACACAACAAGTCCATAGCAGAGCTGGGAACAGATCCCAGGTATCTTCACTCTCAGTCCTGTGCGCTATTCATTGTGTCATGATGCATCCCTGGAAGGCAGGGTGCACTGAAATCAATACTTGAGGCAGGTCTCCCAAAAGCTGTACAGGGAAGTGCTATCAATATCACATCCGTCCTTCATGATATGGTGCCTTTGGTTATATATCTTGATGTGCATTGGCATTTTTCCCCTCATCACATTGCATAGAAATCTTTTTGACCATCTTTAAAATACATTTTTTTCCACTCAGTATTTAGTTGATTTAGCCACAAGGTGCATTTTGTTGTAGACTGTAATAGCTCAGTCAAGAATAAAATACTTGTGTTGCTGCAAAACCCCATAAACTCTTCTGAGACTTTTCTTGAATTACACAGACTTTGCTGCCATGTAGAGACAAGAAGCCTTCAACAGTCTCCAAAGAGTAACAAGACACTCATTCTTCCCCCATCATTTTCACATTCAAAAACTATCATTGTTTCATGTGCCTCAGTGTACCATTAAAAATAAAACAAAACAGAAAAACAAGGAAAACTACGACAACAGTTCTTAATCAGATCAATATATATGTTATTTTCTGAAAAGCTGAGAAAGAGCACTAAAGAACTATACAAACCACCCACCCTAACTGCTTACATTTTTTCTTGGTTTATTTCAAGATTGCTGATGTATTCCATCGTACAATTCCTACTCGGATTCCCAAACCAAAGTCCATGAGCACGACTAAATTACCTGTGAAAACACCTACTGGGCATCTTAACAAACCACTCCAAGAAATCAATGCTGGAAAGCGACACATCATGAGAACTGTATCTAACACTTACCTTCAAAATGGAGGGAAGAGGTAAACAACTCTCTGCAATGTCCAGGAGTAAAATATATTTGTTGAGTAATGTGAATCACTGTAGCAATTACTTCTAAGGGCTGTTTCAGAAAAAGGTGATGTTTCCACAAGTAGTGAGATAAAACTATTCACAGGTCTGTAAAAAAAGACTGCAACACTCATGCATCAGTAACACTCTCTGGACCAAACTCTGCTCTCGGTGCTCCAGTGTAAATCCTGATTTACCGCAAGTTTAATGGCAACAGAATTTGGCCCTTACCATGAAGTGACAAATTAAATTGCAAAATGAGTTTCTATTATAAACCAAAATTTGACACACACCCCTCTGCGACTAATAACCACAACCTTAATTCCACCCTAGCAGATTTACAGCAATGATTACAATCATAATGACAAGTTATCACACAAGGATTTTGTTTTCAGTTGGTCTTATGAAATTGTGTTTCAATGTGGATATTTTTAGGTTCAAATTTAAGTGAGAGAAGATAATACTTGGCAAACTATCCCGATACAAATGAAAGAAAGGAAGATAGTAACAGAGCAACACGAACGTACACAGAGTTCTTTAATGAACGGAAAAGCAAAGAGAAATCCTACAAAGTGGAAATATGGACAAATTGCTAAGGATGACTACAAAAGAATAGCACAAGCATGTAGGGACAAAATCAGACAGGCTAAGGCACAAAATGAGTAACATTTAGCAAGGAACATAAATGGCAATAAGAAGAGATTCTATAAATAGATTAGGAGCAAGAGAAAGACTAAGAAAAATGTTGATCCTCTGTGTACCTATTGGGTTCCGGGAAGTGGGCGGGCAAAGCCCGCCCACTGCTAAAGGATCCCCCCCCCAGCCTAAGGGGAGGACCCACAGGACCTAAAACCCAAATGATTACGGGGGACAACTAATGTAAAAACAGGGACATGAGTGTGATTAAAGGGTCAAAAGAAGGGAACCTGACGGGGACACCGAGCAGAGAACCCCGGACAGCGCCCACTGCTTCTCAAAGGTGTCAAGGGAGCCAGTGGACGCCGCCCAGAGGAACTCTGCCCGGATACGTGAACAGACAGAGGATCGGAAACAGGCCCCACAATCACAGGAACCTCTATCGGCCAACCTCCTCTCCCTGGTTTTATAGATGGCCTGTTTAGCCAGGGCCAAGAGGAAGTTGACCAGGAGGTCCTGTGACTTTGTGGGGCCACGGATAGGGAGTGCATAAATGAGAAGGTGAGGGGAAAAGTGTAACCAAAAACGCAACATAATGTCAGTGAGGAGCCGGTGTAGGGGCTGCAACCTGGCACACTCTAAGTAAATGTGAGCCAGGGTCTCCCTCACGCCGCAGAAAGGACAGGTGTCAGGGACAGGGGTAAACCGCGCCAAGTACACGCCCGTGCTCACGGCCCCATGAAGGAGCCGCCAACTGACATCCCCGGCGGGCCTCGGGACCAGGGTGGAATAGAGGCTGGCCCACCGGGGCTTCTCACCCTCGACAGGTGGCAGGTTGATCCTCTGTGTAGCGGGGCGGTTACCCGGCTCCGGCCCTGAAGGGGTTAAAGGTAGGCTGATTGGGGAAGCAGCCACAGCTGGGGCCACGCCCAAATCAGGCCACAGCTGGCCCTATAAAAGGGCTGTGAGGCAGTAGTTCAGGCAGTCTCTCTCTGGAGAGAGAAGGACTGGGCTGCCTGGGAGCTGAGAAGGGTACCTGGAGTGGAGCAGGGCTGGGGGGAAGGCCAGAGGAGCTGGGGAGCTCCAGGCTGGAAAAAAAAAACCAGCCTGCAGGCCTTGCTGAAGGCCTAAAGCAGGTACTGGAGTTGCAGAGGGGCAGCCCAGGGGTAGACAAAGGCAGCAGGTCCAAACCCCCCTTGCTGATGATGAGTGGTTCATAGACTGCAGTCTGCCCCAGTGACTGGGGGCTAGATGGCGACTGGCAGTAGCCACTGAGGTGGGGATAGAGGGTTGGGGGTTCCCTGGGGAGGGGAAAACCTGGAGAGTGGGGTACTGCCAGGGGGCAGCACCCAAAGTAAAGGGGTGGGACATGGGGGCCTGAGGCAAGCAGGACATCAGCCAGCAGAGGGTGCTCTAGACGTGGAGAGCAATTCCCAGGATGACCAGCAGGAGGCGCCGCACCAGTGAGTCATCGCCCTGCCACACTCTGCTGAGGGAGAGGGAGGGAGAACCAATAACCAACAACATCATGAAGACTGAGCTGTTTAATACCTATTTTGCTTCAGTCTTCATTAAAAAGATTAAATTGTGATCAGATGCTTAACACAATGAATATTAACAACAAGGGAGAAGGAAGACAGAACAAGTTACAAAATATTTAGTTAAGTGAGATGCATTTAAGTTGGCAGGGCCTGAAGAGTTTCACTCTAGGATACTTAAAGAACTATCTGAAACAATCTTGGAACCACTAGCAATAATCCTTGGAGGACGAGTGACGCCCAGAGGGCTGGACAAGGGCAAATGTATCTATATCTTTAAAAAAAGGGAACAAAGAGGACACAGGGAATTATAGACCTGCCAGCATAATGTTGATACCTGGAAAGATACTGGAACAATTTACTGAATAATCTATTTGTACCTAGAGGATAACAGGGTGATAAATGATGAGCCACGTGGATTTGTCAAGAACAAATCATGCCAAACCAACCCAATGTCCTTCTTTGAGAGGGTTGCTGGCCTACTGTGTGGGGGGGAAGCAGTTGACATTACATATCTTGATTTTAGTAAGACTTTTCACACAGTCCCACATGACACTCTCATAAGCAAATTAGGGAAATGTAGTCTACATGAAATTACTATAAAGTGGGTGCACAATTGCTTGAAAGACTGTACTCAAAGAGTAGTTATCAGTTTGCTTTCAAACTGGGAGTGTGTATCTAGAGGGGTCCCACAGGGATCTGTCCTGGGTTCAGTACTATTCAATATTTTCATTAATGAGTTGCATAATGGAATGAAAAGTATGCTTATAAAATCTGCAGATGACACCAAGCTGGGAGGGGTTGCAAGCATTTTGGAGGGCATGATTAGAATTCAAAATGACCTTGACAAATTGGAGAATTGGTTTGAAATCAACCAGATGAAATAAAATAAAGACTAGTGCAAAGTACTACACTTCAGAAGGAAAAATCAAACGCACAACTACCAAATGGGGACTAACTGGCCAGGTGGTAGTACTGCTGAAAAGGATCTGGGGGTTATAGTGGATCATAAATTGAATGAGTCAACAAGGTGATGCAATTGCAAAAAAAATGCTAGTATTCTGGGGTATAACAAAAGAAGTGTCATATTTAAGACACCGGAAGTAATGTTCCACTCTGCTCAGCACTAGTGAGGTCTCAGCTGGAGTACTGTGTCCTGTTTTGGGTGCCACACTTCAAGATGTGAACAAATTGGAGAGAGTCCAGAGGAGAGCAACAAAAATGATAAAGTGTTTAGAAAACCTATGAGGAAAGATTTAAAAAACTGGGCATGTTTAGTCTTGAGAAAAGAAGCCTAAGAAGTGAACTGACAGTCTTCAAATATGTTAAGGGTTGTTATAGAGAGGACAGTGATCAATTGTTCTCCATGTACACTGACCGTAGGACAAGAAGTAATTGACAATCTGCAGCAAGGGAGATTTAGGTTAGATATTAGGAAAAATTTTCTAACTATAAGGATAAGCATGTACCGGAAGAGGTTATCCAGGGAGGTTGTGGAATCCCTGTCATTGGAGGTTTTTTCAGAACAGGTGAGACAAACATCTGTCAAATGGTCTAGGTATACTTGTCCTGATTCAGCACAGGGGGGATGGACTAGATGACCTCTCTAGGTTCTTTCCAGCCTTATATGTCTATGATTCTATGAATGGAGGAATGAATGAAACCTGCTATTGATTATGTGATTTCTAGAGCTTAAATAAATGCAGAGCTTCTGGATGTGCACCCCATTAATTTTTAAAATGTAATTTGAAAAGGGTCAATTCCCTAACATATTAGTTAACTAATGTGATGTAACTACACTTGTTTGTGAGCAAACACTGCATTATGAAAGTGTATGCAAGAACTGAGACTTCACTTTTTTTATTTTTCTTATTAGCTGTATTAACCTTTGCAGTTTTACTGGGATTATGGTATTTAGATCTCATTTGTTCATGCTGTCTCTCATGGAGCAGGGTTAAAGTTGTGGTTATTTTATTAAGATTAACATATATTATTCTGATTGAGAAGTGCAATCTTAGTTCTTAATATCCTGGGGGATTTTCCCCCCACCAAACTCAAACATTCACACATAAATAACATATGTACCTGCAACTGTAACTCTATCTTTGTGAAGTTTTTGATCAGTCTACTTGATACCTATTACAGATCTTTTGCAAGGGCACTTTTAGTCCATGCAACACATAGCAACTGCCTTTTCAGTTCTTACTGAATTTATGCATGTAGCTAAAAGAATCATTTCTACTTGAGACTTAGCTCAGCTTTTGTATAAATAAAAAAAAACAAGGCTTTGTGTTTTCCAGCAAAGGGACTGTTACTATAAGGATACTGAAAACTGTTACACATAAACAAGTTGTATAAGAGTACAACAATACTGTTTTATTTCTTGAAGGATAATTGTCATTATGAATTGTCAAAACTGTAATTATGAAAAGGTGAACAAATTCTATAGAAGAGTTCATTGAAAATATTGATGCTATTTGTCTAAAATGAAAATCAACAGAACGCTGCTATTACAGAGTATAATATTGTGTATCCTGTAACACTGACCAATTCATGGGGTATTGTGCTACACATGACTTTGACTTCCTCTTGTCACTCTCTCCCCCATCCTTTTTCCCTCTAGGGAACTCATTCCAATGGTCCCACTAAATGTGATTTGTGGGACAGCTGCAATTTTGAAATTAGGCTAATGTGGATCTTTTTGCAGCAAGAGTGAATTTCAAATTCCCAAATTAAGTGAAAGTCAGTGGTGACCACAGCAATCAGGCTCAGGACTGTTCTGATCCAGGCAAAACCAACATCCTGGCACCCAACCAACACTATTTTTTAATTTCATAGCTAGAACTTTGATTAAAGTAATTTAAAGACATTATGGCAACACATCATACAAGCACAGTTGTGGCAATCTCTGCAAATGTGTGACTGCAATATGTACAGCTCTAAACAACTGATCAGAAATTCCCCCTCAGCACTTAAACATTAAAGAGTCAATCTAGTGAGAAATGTATTCAGAATTCTCCCTACAAGGTGTATTTTGTGATTAAAATTACAGGAAATAGTCAAGAACTAGTTTCCTCAGATATAAGAAGAAACCTGTAAGCTTCCTTCTAATTATTTAATTTACCAAACTTGCATCTATCTGAAAGATAATGGGGGAGGAGATATCACACTGAACATTCTTTTTGATATTCCACAATGTAGCAATTGGCTGTGAAGCAAGCACACCAACTCACTTGCTTTAAGTTAGAACCCCTATCTTCGATTATAGAAGTTATGGGCTTGATGCAGAAATTTTTGGGTGTGGTTCTTCAGGCTAGATTATCATAATGGTTCCTTCCAGCCTTAAAAATTATTGCATAATTAATCACTTACGAACAGCATAAAAAAGTGAGAATTACTATCAAAATAATTTTTTCTTCTTCAACAGTTGTGAGGATATAATCATGAAAGAGGAGTTGACATAATAAATCATTCTAATGGTGTGGCCAAAAATACACACATGACCACTTCCATATTACCTGCTTGGATATATATTTTGTGTGTTTTATTCCCCATTAGGTGAATTTGAAAA